CCAATCGTCAATGTAGTCAAACTCGGGAAATCTATCCATTAGAATTCACTCATGCATATTCCTACTAGTAACAGATAGTTTTGGAACATTTTCAAAGTTTCTGGATCCAATTTGGAGAAGTCGTAATGCAGGAAGATTGGATATTGTGAACTCTGAAATCGGTGAACATTTGATCTCCAATCTGTATGTGTGTTAACTTCGGACTATTCGTAACGCGGAATCTCTTGGGAGTATCTCCCAGTCTTCTTCCAGTTCCTTCTGAAATATAACTCATTATTGTATCGCCAAAGATCAGATATTCCAAGTTCTCAGCTCCATCAATCATAAAGGCATTCATATCAGGGAAATTGTTTTTCTCAATCCAAAGCATAACCACCTTATCCGTCTTTTGGATCGAGAAAGTTTTACCCGGAACATTGCAACTGTCTTCTTTTAAGTGAACAATCATACTAGAAGCCAGAGCCTCTTCGAAATTATCACAATTACTCACTTCAGCTATCTGGTCACCTTTTACTAATCCAGTCTCTGAATGGTAGTAATACTCTTTGGGAGACGAATCTGTATTTAAAGCAATATGATCTTCTCCAGCTCTATTCGTAATTCGCAGAGTGGAACCTGCACTCCAAGGACCTCCCTTCACTATAATCTTCATCAATCTTGAAGGCACTTCAACCTGCTCACTGTCACTCCCTTCTCCTGTTAGAGTCATACTGAAAATCTCATTTTTATCATCAACTGCATCCGTGAGCGTCACCGTTCCCGAACCCGTTGGCGTTGTTGTATAGCTCGCTGTCAGTTTAATGAGGATCTTATTCGGATCACTAGGAGGCTCTGGAGTGGTAGTTTCTGTATAGCTCATCGAAAAAGCATAACCAGCAATTCCAGCATAATTGGCATTCGTATCATTATCAGTCACAGGAAGCTGAAGTACAATGTTTTCACAAGGTACCACGTTGAATGTGACAATCCACTTCTCTTTATCGTATCCTTTTATCACACCATATAAAGTCGGGTTGTATGCAGCTCCAGTATAGATGTAATCTCCTGTCACATGGTTCGTTACACGAAGACGGAATAGGTCAAGAGCTAAGAGAGAGACAACAGGATTTCCCTCTACAACCAAATTCATAAGTCCACTCTTATTGGGAACATCGATTTGCGTCACTTGAAAATGGTACTTCGGCAGCACATCATTGGTGCAAAGATCACTGCTATCCAAAAGATTCGCATCAGCCTCTGTCATCAAACCTGTTTCTGTGATAAACCGGTAGATATCATAGTTGGTGATATTATTTGGTTCAAGTCCAGAAGAGAAAGGTAAACAAGTTAGTAAGTGCTTAAGCGAGAACTTTATGCTTGTGCCCTGTTTTTTCGAATAAGCAGACTCAGCAGCCGTAATAACAGCTGTAGCCCAGGATGTAGCTACAGCATTTGACATCGAATAGCCTTCGAATCCATTACAGAAATCGCGGGTGGTTATTTCGGCTGAAAAACTTTCTTCGTTAATATCTACTGGGTCAGCATAGGATCCATGACGTAAGTATTCGGTTCCAATGTCCATAAGCCCTTGTAAGTCTTTATCAGCAAAATCGGAAAGAACTGAAAAGTCGACTGGATAACGTCTGTATCGAGCCTTGTTCAATATTTCTAGACAGCTTTTTTCGAAAAATGGGTAATGTTTCCTAAAACTCAAAAATGGCTCACACCATTACTCTTTATATTCTTCACATCCATCTACGCATTTTGAGGGATAAGCCTTCAGATAGTCTTCATATCCTTTACGACTGCACGTATACTTCAGCTGTGTACACGAAACATTAAGCAACAGAAGAGAAATACAAATAGCAATCAAATTCAGTTGCATTGGTAGAAACGAATAAATCTATGAAACGCTGTTATTCGGAATTGTAAAAATATGTGGGAATAGGAAGTAATATCAGTTTTGGACGAGATACATAGATTTTTGTATTCTATATTATGTACAATTGAATAATTGACAATCCAAATAAGAAATGAATGTTGGTGTTGATACTCTCGACAATTAGCGTGATATTTTATTTTATATAATTATCGTCAACTAGAATAAAGTATTTCGTATTATTAATGATGTATACCGACATATGAACAACAGTACGGATTCTGAAAAGAAACTGTGAAATTGAATTGAATACTGATAATGATTCAATATTACATATATCAAGCATAATAGGTGGGACAAGTAACCTGCTAAGCAGATGTTGGATAATAAGGCGGAATCGAGCTATGGAAGGTTTATATAATCCGATTCTGAAGAATAAAGGGGTTACATAGACAAGAATAAGTGCGACTTCAAAACAAGAATTCTGTAATATAGGCTACGTGTATATTTATAATCTGCATTAATCTATAATGAATTCTGCGATGTTGGTGAATTCAACAACCAGTGGTATATTAGCTAAAAAAACTGATAATGTCATTATTGAATAGGACAAGGTAAATTGAAATTACAATTGCTGAGTCAAATAGAATCAAGAGAACGAATTACGATACATGTGGATTATTCTAACATTTTTATTTTCAAATTATATATGTGGATGCACAAGCTAATAAAAGAAATGTATATCCACTACTCTTGCTGACTACCTGCTAGATTTGATTAAACACGATTAATAACTTATCAGCTATATATTCTTACATTTTCTTGTATATCTATGGTCTTTCAGAGTTTATCGTATCTAGATATTTGACTTTTCCGGCAGTTCTGTGTCATTCATAGTAGTTCAAGTGTGCCTGTTCGTTTTGCAAAGAATAAGTAGTCTATACTAGTGCCACTAATGATAGTTTCAATGGTTGAAAAGTCAATACGAACGTACACGATAAATTGTGTTTAGAAGATGTGTATTGCAGGTTGTGTACAAGTATTACTGTGAGGTGATACCGAATTCTACTTGAATCAGTTGTTTATCATAGAATCTGTGATGGTTTTATTCTATATAGTGTACCAAATAGTACTCACTGAACTAAAATAAGGATCACTCAATATAAAACCAAATGTAATTACTATTATTTGTGTTATATAGTTTAGGTTACACAACATAGCTAGATAGTAATTAATATATACACAATAGTATAGAGATCCATTTTGCGAGCGGTATAGTACCCAAACCTTTAGTAACAAAAGACTAACATAAATGTCACCCCCTTTTGATCCAACAAGGGTCCACCATTCACCACTTGAAATAATCATGCTTTTGTTATTATTATTAGTATTATACATTCAAATGAAAGTCATTTTATAGCAGAACAAGAAATGGTTCATTGGCTATTGTGTAACATGGATATTGTAAAAGAGCCACACAATGCATTCATTGCCAACCAGGAGCTCATTTGTTGCAGTTTCTTCAATAATGTATTTCCCATTCCTGTAATAGAATCTACAGTAGGTATGTCATTTTGATTTGTGAAGTGTTTACTTAGTTGATCACATACATGGCAGTAAGTAATATGGACAAAAGCATACCTTTCTAATTAACAATGTTAGTGCTAATAAATGCACATTCAAACAAGCAAGAAAGTCGTAAGAGTAATGGTAATAATACAGATGAACACAGGAGAAAGTCATTAGTATACTGAACAAATGACCTCCATTCCCTAGAAAATACCATACATTTGGTAACTCTTTCTTATAGATTTCTTAGTGATATTATTCATACTTATGGAACTATATACTAACAAGAAATACTTTTTAGTACACCAATTTGAATGGATTTCAATGATTCACAATTCAATATGTGGAATGATTTTGAATTATCACTTCCACTATCATTCTTTTTCTGAGTAAATGAATTCTGACCGATTTTGATAGTTTTCAATCGATTCAATCCATCGATTTGGAATGTTTTCACTGATTCAAAACAATCATTGCCGATTTCGATTGATTCCAAATTGTACAACAATGAAACATCCCAATCAACCAATACACAATTGTCACTCAGTTTCAAATGTTTCATTCCGATATTCATTGGTTTGCTTCCATCGCCTTCATAAATTTCTTCAATATCACTTTCAATTCCATTATACCATTCACATTCATTCACTAATTTACCATATCGATTATACACGATCCCAATTCCAAATCGATTATCATCACACCAATATCCTTCATATTCAATACATCCATTATTATGATAACTCGTTCCATATCCAAATCGTTTCCAATTGATCATTATGCCCTTGTACACCAAGAATCCATCATCATCATACATTTCACCATATCCAAATGGAATGCCCAACTTGTTTTCTGTTAATACCAAGCCTTCAAATCGACTTCCATGATCCAAATCCACGATTCCTTCTACTACTACTTCTATGGCTTGTTCTTCATTATATGAAATAGCACCAATTTGATGATTTCCAAACACTTTCAACACTTTCTGCTCATTGACCACAAATCCTTGATTCATGAATACTCCATTATTGAATTGCAATACTACACATTCTCTATTACTCATAATGAGTAAAATCCAGCCATTTGGTTTCACTTTTTTACCCAAGCATGCCTGTGCACTTTGAATAATGGAATTATCACTATGATCATTATTAATGCAGAATTGACAAAATCAATAAACCTTGCATGGCAATACGAAAGATAAAATGATATAAAAAGAATGGCAATAATGTTATTCTAATGTTTTGATTCCGTATTATTTGTTTTACATCCATATTTATTATTCTTCCTTTGTAGAGATGTACATCCAATCATGGTTTCACACTTCACATCGTTATGAATGTGTCGTTCTCATTTTTGTTTGTAGGATTGTTTTGAAATAATAGCCCTATCCGTATATGCCCACTTTTTGTTATTTCGGTTTCATCTCTTTCCGTGCTTTGGCTATGTTACGATATTCCACTTTTATTATAATCTTTTATTTCTTTTTCTATATAAATTATGTTGCTCTTTCGAATCAATCAATTTCCTTTTGAATTCTACCACTTCATAATTTCTCTTGCTTTAATATTCAATGGATATATCTTCCTTCGTTAGACTTACTTCCAGTAGTGTAACCCATTCTTACGAGTCTCATAGTCAGATCGAGGAGTTCCAATCATTCGAGCCTAACTATTTCTTCAACCTGGCAGACTTTTTGTGTGCTTTTACTTCAGCGTTTTATCTACGTTTCCGAGACAAGGATAAAATGAAGGGTGTGAGTCTCTGCATTTGCACATTTCTAATGTGTTTCGGTAGATCATTGGATCATTTCTCATCGATAGGTGGCTCGACGATGACGAATTTTGTTCATGGTTTAATGATGGGTTATTTACGACGCTCTACTAGTTTTGTTTCATTTTTGATCGGACTGTTTGGTCTTTTCTTGGCATTCCATCAGAGGTTCTGTACTTCTTCTTCCCCAGTCTGCGATTGATTCTCTTTTCCCTACCTTTTTGTATCAGGTAGCTTCTGGCAAATGTTTATGCTATGTAGTGCTTTAACTTTGTTGTTGACTGCCTGCTTCGAATCCACTGTGTCACCTCGTGGGGTGTGCATACGGCGATCTCTGCTGGAGGAAGCGTGGTCTCAGCCACGTTCGCTTCCATGGCGACGGGCTGTGGCGGAGGAATGCTGGCGACGCTTCTTCTCGATGATTCGTCGAGTGTGTGGATGGATAAGCTAACACGTGTGTTAGTAAAATACAAAAGGTGAAGGCGTTAAAACGATGCGATCTGTAGAGAACTGGAGCATTTGTTGACGTTGTCTCTGCTCTATCAAGCGCTTATCGGGTTTCTTCCTTTGTCGTTTGTTTCGCCGATGGATTTTGTTGGGGCGAGGCAAGAATGTGATGTAGATAAGCGCTAAAAGCGTGTGCTTTGTTGTCTTCTTGTGTCTTCATTTCATGGATCGAGTGATTGGGATTGTAATCGTTTGGGCGTGCATTATTGATAGCGTTTGTTTTTGCCTATTCCGATGACCGTTTCGTATTCGAAAGAGGCCGAGAAGGAGCAGGAGAAAGAAAAGGAAAAGGAAGAATAAAATGGTTGTTTGTTTTAGTCTATTATCAAGTGCTTGTGCTTTGACTGCTCTTAGAAAACGTTGTTCATATTCGCTGTGAAATAGAACCACTTATGGAATGCTTTCTTTGGTTGGAACTATTCTATTCTTCTGGAATGCATTGTTCTCTTGGAGATCAGAAATTCTTTGAACCTATGAACTGGGAAACAAGGAGTGATGCTAGAGTACTGAATTATTGCCTTTGGAAGGATGCTTCAACTTCCAGAAAGGTGGAGGACGAGTCTGTCTGCTTTGCTTCATTCATTCGTATGTTCCCTTATGCTATAAAGAATACATTGTGCCTATTTTCTTTTCTATCCCTTGAGCAGTTTCCCTATCCTTTGCACAATCGACTCTCCTTCGATCACTCTAACATTTGCATGATCCCTTGTAAAACTAGACACTCTTCCCTTCCCTTTTGTTTCACTTCCACACCCTCCTCTTCTTACTCCATGGATACCTTTATAATAGACCCCTAAACACAAAATATACTAGATTAACCATCAAATCTTGCAAATTACCCTTTCCTAACCAAAATGCTCATATAGACTGTTCATTTGAATTACCTATACTTAAACATCGATACAATCTATATATTCTGACGAGATACAGCAGACAAACTCTTTTCCACACCTTGTTTCCCAAATACCATTCAATCATTTCCAAAATAATAAGCCATTCAACTACAATTCATTTCTATCCATAGCAATCCATATCGAGAATCAAGTCCTTCCGCTCTCTATTTATCACTCCCATCCTTTCAATTATTGTCAAATCTATAGATGAACAGCTCTCAATGTTCGTCCAAAATACTTTACCCTTTTTCTGTGATATGTTGCTGGTAGATAAACAACGCCCCAAAACATTGGAGGAGATGGACTATCACAAGGATATGTCGATAAACTTAATGAAGCTCGTTTTTTGTTTCTATGAAGCGTTATGTTGTAGGCATCATCCAATGAGTTTCCACATATGCTGTTTTATGGTCCTTCGGGCTGTGGGAAGAAAACCCGCATCATGGCGCTCTTGCGTGAAATGTTTGGATCGGGTGTAGAAAAGGTAGAGCAACTTATGGTTTGATTTAGAAATAGCTACGAATGGAGAAAAGGGAGTTCAAAGTAGAGGAGCATTTTCACATATTTGAGTGTAGACTCCATCGCAAAAATCGATTGAGATTGTAACGATAGCGAGTAACTATCACATCGAACTGAACCCAAGCGATGTTGGGATATATGACTATGTGGTTGTTCAAGAAATCATAAAGGAAATTGCTCAATATAAACAACTCGATGCAAATGCGAAGCATCCCTTCAAAGGTTTTCTCTACTCCGTGTGAATCCCTTTCTAGTGGTTCTCCTAAGCGAGGCGGACAATTTATCTCGAAACGCTCAAGCAGGTCTTCGTCGTACCATGGAGAAATACTCCAGCAACTGTCGTCTGATTCTCTGTTGCGAAAACAGCAGTCGCATCATCGCTCCGATTCGCAGTCGCTGTCTCTGTCTCCGTATCTCCGCACCGACTCTCTCTGAAGTTGGCTCGACGCTTTCTTTGTTCCTGCTAGGTTCTAAGCATTCTGCAGCGGAACTGTCTGAACGAGGGTCTCTCGGTGCCTTCTTCGCAGTTGCAGCGCATCGCCCAAGTCTTCTCGGTGCGTGAGTGTGATGTAGGCTTCGAATCGGAACCTGCGCCGCGCGCTGTTGCTGTTGGAATCGAACACTGCGGCGAACGGAGGGGGAGGATTGAAGGGGGAGGACATCGTGCTGATGGATTGGGAGCGATTTCTCGAGTCCATCGTGGGAATCATCGTCACAAAGCAGAACCCTGCGGCGCTGCTCGAGATCCGAGGCAAATACTACGAGTTGCTGGCGCGATTGATCCCGGCGAGCGTGATTTTGAAGAGGATCGCGAGCAGACTGGTGGACTCGACGCCCTCGCGAGCGACGCAGATGGAAATCGTGCATTGGGCTGCGGTGTATGATCAGAAAATGCGGAAAGGAGGGAAGGAGATCGTGCCGCTGGAAGCCTTCACGGCACGCTGCATGGCGCTGCTCGCTCAAGCCCGTCATTCATGCATTGTTTTCTAGAGCAAACCATGCAATGCGTTCATTCCATTCGAATCAGCGCATTTGATTTGCATTGAATTGATTCCATTTCATTCAACTCACTTCTCTTCCTTTCCTTTCCATTTCACACAACTGCATTATCATCAACAAACACTTCAAAGACAGTACAAACCCCATTCCTTCTTTCTTATTCCTCCTTCGCCTTTCCAGCGCCCAGACTCAACCAGCGCCAGAACGGAATCACCACCGTCACCACCGCAATGGCTCCCAGAATCGCGTACTCCATCTACCCCCATTACTCCCAGCAACACACATTCTACCCAGAACGAACTCGCCAGACGCAGATAGTGCGCTTCCTGAAGAATCGGAAGTGTTCCCAGAGAGGTGGACAGACCACGAGCATGCGCCACTTCCTCGTCCTTGTAGAAAGCGTACTCGTACATCGCGCGACCCGTTTCCAGATAACCGAACTGGCGAGGAATAGCAGTCACGTTCTTCTCGAACTTTTCTCCCCTACCCATCACCCTTTCCCCTATAGCAAAAGCCTACGCAGGAAGCTCTTCAATCACAATAGGGAACTCCACATCAATATCGAAGCCCTCTTCCGGCCACTGGTCAGTAATCGTCACATTGTACACATCTCTACCGGTAGACAGCCCCACAAAATTATACTCTTCACCAATGTTATCAATACGGTACATAATGGTGAATTCGTGGTTACAACCAATGTAGTTGCTAGGAGCATCGAGTCCCTACGAGAAATCGATTCCCCAGCAAATGCCTTCCTACCTTCTCCATAATCAAATGAGGAGCGCACTGAGCCAGGGCAAGAGCAAGCAGAACAACGATGGACTTGAACTATCGCATTAGAATCACTCCCTCCTCGTCTACCATTTCGTTTACAGTGAAAATACTAGCGAAACAAGTGTATTCTAGTGAAAAGACTCAAAATGCCAGCGACATGTACAGTGATTTCCCTTGAAAATCAAGCATTTCAACAAACAGCCAAAAAACATTACAATATTCACTACGACTGTTCTCCATAACTTCAAATCCTTTTCCAATACACCAACCATCCATTTTCCTTTTTTTCTTTTCTTCGGCTCGGGACCTCTCGCTCTTTACAGCGGGATGTTTCCGTGCTTTCTCCAAGGATTGGTCATCTTCTTGGTCTGGAGGATCTCGAGGTCCTCGCAGAGTCTTCTTCGGGTCTCGGTGGGCTCGATGATGTCGTCGATGAATCCTCTCTGGGCGGCCATGAGCGGGTTGGCGAAGTTGTAGGCGTACTCGGCCTTGTTCTTCTGGAGATCCTTTCCTCGGAAGATGATCTTGACGGCTCCCTCGGCTCCCATGACGGCGATCTCTCCGTTGGGCCACGAGTAGTTGCTGTCTCCGCGCAGATGCTTCGAGGACATCACGCAGTACGCGCCTCCGTAGCTCTTGCGGGTGATGACGGTGACCTTGGGCACGGTCGCCTCCGCGTAGGCGTAGATCAGCTTGGCTCCCTCGCGGATGATTCCTCGGTGCTCCTGGTTCACGCCGGGCAGGAAGCCGGGCACGTCCACGAACGTCACCAGCGGGATGTTGAACGCGTCGCAGAAGCGCACGAACCGCGCGCCCTTCACCGAGGCGTTGATGTCCAGGCAGCCCGCCAGCTCCAGCGGCTGGTTCGCCACCACGCCCACCGTGCGGCCCTCCATGCGGGCGAAGCCCACCACGATGTTCTTCGCGAAGTCGGGCGACGTCTCGAAGAACTCCTGCTCGTCCACCACCAGCTTCACCAGCTTCTTCATGTCGTACGGCATGTTCGCGTCCTGCGGCACGATGTTCGCCAGCGCCGGCTCCGCGCGGCTCCGCGGGTCCGTGCACACGCGGCTCGGAACGCCGTCGCGGTTGTTCAGAGGCAGGTAGTCGTAGAACGTACGCATCGCGCGAAGCATCTCCACGTCGTTGTCGAACGCGCCCTGCGCCACGCCAGACTTCTTCGTGTGGATCGCAGCGCCGCCCAGCTCCTCCTGCGTCACTTCCTCCTGCGTCACCGTCTTCACCACGTCCGGACCCGTGATGAACATGTACGACGTGTCGCGCACCATGAAGATGAAATCAGTGATCGCAGGAGAGTACACAGCGCCTCCAGCGCACGGACCCATGATCAGAGAGATCTGCGGAATCACGCCCGACGACAGAGTGTTCCGCTTGAAGATCTCCGAGTAGCCAGCAAGAGAGTCGCAACCCTCCTGGATACGAGCACCGCCGGAGTCGTTCAGACCGATCACCGGAGCACCCACGTCCATGGCCTTGTCCATCACCTTGCAGATCTTCTCAGCGTTCGTGCCAGACAGAGAACCTCCCAGCACAGTGAAGTCCTGAGCGAACAGGAACACCAGACGACCGTTGATCGTTCCGTGGCCCGTCACAACACCATCGCCAGGGTAGTTCTGCTTCTCCATACCGAAATGCACGCAGCGGTGCGCCTTCAGCTGGTCGTACTCGCGGAACGAACCCTTATCCACCAGCAGCTCGATACGCTCACGAGCAGTCAGCTTGCCACGCTTGTGCTGAGAATCAATGCGCTTCTCGCCTCCACCAATAAGGGCGCTGTGGCGAGCTTCAGCAAGTCTTTCAGTGAAAGGCTTCGTTAAATCAACAGCTCCGGCGAAACTGCGCTACACCATCACACTCACAGATTCAAAATCGTACAGCAAGAGTCACAGCACGCTTCGAAATCATAGAAGGAACAGATGCGAGCATTCTTTGGGAAAACCTAGAATGGGAGAATAATGGAGAAACAGGGAAGATGAGTGAAGGGACGACATACAGCTTTAAGGGACCAAAATGTTATGCATGTCGATGAGCTGGATGGGAATATTTACCAGATTCAATTGAAATGAGCGATTCACTTTGTATTGAAAGAGGTGGTTTATGTAGGAGCGAACTAGGGGAGTTTGGAAGCTAGTGATAGGAACGAGGGAATTATGTGTATACCTAAACTTGAATCGTGTACGACTGGTAGATAATGGGTTAAAATCACAATTCTATTACATCAGTTCTTATATTCCCAATGGTGTTGTCAACACTCCTTCGTACATTTTCGATTGTGTTCTCCATATCGTATCCAACCAAAAACACTTATCCTTTTTACAGAAAATTGAAACCGCTTTCATAAAAAGACTAAAAGGGGTTAAATACATTAGTACAAGAACAACAAATCGCGAATATACGTTCACGGAGGCCTTTCTGGAGTTTTTCGCATAGGATGGAGGACTATTGTATTCATATTAGTTGCCGCGCCTACCACGAATATTTTAATACTATGGAATATGAATATACATCTTCACATATTATTCAACTTATATTACACCATTAGTGAATATTGCTATTTCTCTTTATTGATCAATTGCTGTACGTTTTAATCAAAATAATATAGATATTTTGATCCTAATTATTTAAAATATTAGAAATCAAGTCATGTACACATGGATTCTTAATCAAACAATCAATTCTATTCTTCATTCCTATTCTCACTATTTCTTCTTGTATACTGGCCTAAATTCATTGCAGAATGACATACATTTTTCTTTTCAAAGGCAGGAGCATTTGTGACATACACTTCACGCGTTCTTTTATACATTTCTGGTATTTCAACAACCTTAACATTCGGAACATCTACATAGGAAGGTCTACAATACATTCAACCAGTAATTGTTATTTTAGAACAAGTTAACGATGAACCGAGCGATTCAAATATTTCTAACTTGGGAAGATTTTCCATCCGCAAAAAGGATGTTTTGAATAAATACAAAGCGTTAGTCCCCAGGTGGATCTCCTTTAATTCTGGCAAATCACGAATAACGCATGTTCGTGGAGATTCAAAAACATAATCTCCAAGAATCAGAGTCGTTAGGTTAGGAAGATTCTCCAAATTTAATGGAGCATCATGAAAATTGATGGATGTAACGCCTATTATACCCAATTCAAGTTTCACCAAACTTGGCAAATCTAATGACGATAGTTATTACGTTACGTACCATTCAAGTAAAAATCCGAACAGTCAGTGAATGAGTTACTACCCATGGATATTGTGGTTAACATTGGACATTTTGAAACGTGAAATTTACGTTCACTTTTATTAAATCTATCTGGACACTGTGTAAAGGATTTATTGCCAATAACGATGGTTTCCAAGAATGGCATATCATTCAAGACAAAATCCATTATGTATTTTCCACAGTTGTCACCGCAATTAATGCTTTTCAAACGTTTACATTCAGTTAAATTGCATTTTGATATATTATTCATCATGTTTGAAGCGATACTTATAGATTCCAAACTCAAATCAAATGTATATTCAACTAAGGAAATGGTTTCATTTTTCAAATCATTCATAAAGTATTCTTCCACACTGGGAGCTTGCTCGATAATTCGTTCCTGCACTTTTGTAAAAGAATTAGTCCACAGTAACTCTACTGAAGAAGGAATATCTAATATCAAACAGAAATATTACTCTACTTTTTACAGTTAGACACAAAAGATTGACGAAATTGTCTCCTTGGCATTCAAATACCTGGAGAGATGGAAGATCTAAAATAGTATTTGAATTAAGTCAAGCTCTACTTTGAAAAATAGCAATACGATTATTCTTGAGATGTCGTGAATCACCCTGAAAGGCACTTGCATAAAACTTCAGATATCTTAATTTTGGAAGATCTAACTAGCATGTTGGCAAAGCGTAATACTTTCAAATTTCGCTACGTGATAACGAGAAAAACTCCATTTTCCAAACGTAATACTTCGAATATTTTCCAAATCTAATAAAAAGGACGGAATACTATAAACCTGAGAGAACACAGTCAGCCGAATGAAAACAAGACGAATCAGAATCCCCTCCAATTACTAAAGTCTCTAAAGATTTCAAATCTCAAATTGTGACATCCCAATATATATGCTTACTTTCTAGTCGCAAACTAACACTCGAAGAAAACGAATAACACCCAAAGTATATTTCTTTTAGACAATCACAATCCATTATGGTCACTTTTGATGTTTTACTGCTACTGTAACTGTTCACAGAATGAGTAAGCGAATTATTTCCAACAGATATCTTTTGTAGTTTCCGGAAGCCATGAATATCCAAAGAGTTTTGTTCAGATGTACACTCTTCTCCAATCTTAATCTCAGTAATTGCAGGATAATGTCGATTGATTATTTCAAAATAGTTTTTAGGTGTAATACTCGTATTATCCGGTATAATTATAGAGTTCTCTTGAACCCATTGAAAATACACTTTTCGTACTAATACTTATTCACCAACAATATAAATACGATGTGGAGGTACATACATACTATAAATATGCTAAAAATGATATACAAGTTATGTGTCAAATGTGTATTATATTGATTATAATAATTATAGTAATTATAATAGTAATACTATTTTGCGTATATTATTGTGATATGTATTTTTTTTGTATAGTATATAATTCTACAGTAAAGAAGTATGATATTTTAACAAAATATCATGATCATTTCAGCACGTGTTCAAAAGTGTTTTGTGTGTCTCCATTTCGCTACAGTATTACTAAAATCATGTATAATCATAGCAATAATATAATGATAATGGTGTTTTGATGAGTAGTGAGATACTAGTAACAAGAAGTATAGTTTAATGATAAACAATAGTTGTTTCAACCCTATTATTGCATAATATATATATATATATTTACGTATATATATGATTTTTGTGTCTCCCAAACTCACAGCTTATAGAATAAACTCATACCTAAAAATCATTGAGTATTGGTGTAAAGTTACTAATCGTATACACAGTAATCTTTTCAGTATTGCTTTGTTAGTTGTATCCTAATCTTGAATGTGAGTGTCTGTTTTTGACGATTTCTATTATCTTCACTCTAGAATAATGAGATTCGTATGAAAAGGGCGTGAGATGTTAAAAATACAATAGATAGCTAAATTGATTCAAACATTCTTAAGATTGTCTTTTAACTAAAGTACGATTAACACGTATGAAATATGAGGGATGTGGATAAACCATCGCAGAAGCCATTCTCCCAAAGCCACTGCCTCTTGTGGTAAGAAGAATATCAGAACTTCCTAAAATATGGACATCGATCAAGGCACTCTTTAACGATGTCGATTTTAAATATTCTTGGCACGTATGACCATGAGGATACTTGGTGGAGTAAATAACGTTAAACTTTGACTTAAATGTATTGAAAAGATAGTTTGTAGCACGGTCAGAATCACTCGAAATGTAGAGATTCCATTCAGAATAGACGATCTTGTGCTTTTTACAAATATCCTCAATTTGAGATGGAACTCTATATAAAGCTTCCTCACTAATCATCGATAATTCCTCAAAATCATTTGCCAAGTTACCTCCAGTACGAACTTGAACACCAAACGTGTAAGGCCTTGCTAATCTTCGTTTCTCTTCCTCGATGTCATTCTTGACTGAGTTCGTGGGAGAGAGAACTATTTGAAACAAGTGCTTGTATAAGTAATTCCAATTTTGACCTTCTCGAAGTAATTTGTAGTCCCTTAAAAGTTGTAAGTTGTCAGGAGTTCGTATAAACCTAGGATTCGCTCGGACATCCTTAAAAACCGAATCCTCACTAAAGCTGGCAGGTAAATCATAAGTCGTGTTATCTCCCACAAAACACTCTATTCTCGTACATAACCTAAATTGAGATACATCTACATTCTACTATTCCCCTATTGTGTACCTTGCGTATACTCTCTTGATTTCAAACAGGAATCAGTCAAATTGTAGATGAGAGGGACAGTAATGACTAAAGTGTTAAAAATGCATAGTCCATACACCACAGTTGTTTCTCTGATAATATAGAATAGAGTATTCCTTCGACAATTGAAATACTCTTATGACCAAGTCCTCCAATGCTGTTATCGATTATTATTTTAGATTCATTTGCTGAGGATGTTATTTGCAAAATCTTTTGACACACTTGTTCAAGAGTCTCTGACCTGACGCTAAATGACGGCTTCTCTATTGTGTTCGACAAAAAATACTGGGCATAGGAAAAAATGCCAGAAAATAGGAAAAAATCGCTAAAAGAACCTTCATGGCAGAAAAAAATAAAAACTGTACGTAATTCAACAGAAATTAATAATAATTGGTAATAGGTTTGAAAACACTGGAGCACATTTGATAGTTCACTGAAGCAGTTTTACACCTCAATGATAGGTTGTTCGCAGTATAGACCGGAATGGTACAGCTTGGTGTGGAGCAGAATTGCTAATTTTTAAAGGAATACCCGTGGCAATCAAACCAAGTGAGTTCGTATTTGTTCTCCCTATATTCGTTTTGTTTCGCTATTCTATTACTTCAGTAAAGATGGAATTTGTAATCAAACGCTATCTACTAAATCAAGAAAGGAGAGACGATGGTTTCTATAGACGTGAATCAACAAAGAACGGATCGAGCCACCACTTTCTTATATATAGAAAGTACCTAATGAAGCGAGTTTCTCGCCAGTTCTTTCTTTCTTTCTTTCTTTCTTTCTTATTCTACAACTCTAGCCTACTTGAATCTATAGTATTAGTGGCAATCCATTCAAGAATTCAATCTCTAACAACACTTCGATTTTTATAACATAGAATAATAAATAGAACTACCACCCCACTATTTTGAGAACGAGATTTTCTATCCAGCAACAAGGAATGGAGAGTGAGGATACGATCAATACGATTCCACTCTACTGTTCTTTTGGGGGAGACTCGTTTATGGGATACCATTGTGTAATCGATCTCTCCCCTCCCTCTCTCTCCCTTAACACATAGAGACAGACGTAAAAACAGCATCCACCCCTTTCTCTCAAATCTTCCACTCTTTATTTTGTAGCATACCGTGCTATGATATTCCCGTCCAAATAATCCACTTAACAAGAGTTTGCGAACCAAATCCCTTCAGTCTCACGATTTCCCCCTTTTTTCTTGACCTACATCCAATTCCTTGCTTGTTGGTACTGGCTCCAATCGAAACCAGAGACTTGTGCGAAACTCCAACGCGCCCATCCATTTCATAGTATTCTCTGTCTTGTCTCAGTTGCAGCCAAATCGCGCATTCATGTGTGTCCGAATCCACAGATGTAAATCGATTGGTATTCACGATTGATTCATAAATGGGAAATGTCGAGGACGAAATGGGAGTGGAGTGGGTGGTCATATTCCGCCGTGCCAAGTTTCAACCACACATTCGATAGTCAGAAAACTCTTTGTTTCAACCTAGGAAAGTCTCGAAATGGTAAGATGCTAATTTGCTGTGAATCTACTCTAATTGTATGTAGGTCAACTTCACCATCGATCAAATCCGTCATATGATGAATATGACAAACAACATTCGTAACCTTTCTGTCGTGGCTCACGTCGATCACGGAAAGTCCACTCTTACCGATGCCCTCGTGTCGAAGGCCGGTATTATTTCGAAGAAGGCTGCTGGAGATGCCCGTTTCACTGATACTCGTGCAGATGAGCAGGAGCGTTGCATTACTATTAAGTCTACTGGTATCTCTCTGTACTTCGAGTACGACCCCGAGACTATTGACAAGGCTGCTTCCGTGGCTACCCCTGAGGGTGAGGCTGTTGAGGAGGAGAACGTGGAGATCAAGCACAACTCTTACTTGATCAACCTTATCGATTCTCCGGGACACGTCGACTTCTCTTCTGAGGTGACTGCTGCCCTTCGTGTGACCGATGGAGCTTTGGTGGTGGTGGACTCTGTTGGTGGAGTGTGCGTGCAGACCGAGACTGTGCTGCGCCAGGCTCTGACTGAGCGTATTCGCCCTGTGCTGATGTGCAACAAGCTGGACCGTGTGATTTCTGAGCTTCAGCTGGACCCTGAGGAGGCTTACCACAAGCTGATGAAGTCTGTGGAGTCTGTGAACGTGATCATTGCCACCTACCCTGATGAGGCTGTTGGTGATATCCAGGTGTATCCTCAGCACGGAACTGTTGCTTTCGGATCGGGTCTGCAGCAGTGGGGTTTCACTCTGCGCAAGTTCGCGCGTATGTACTCGAAGAAGTTCGGTATTGACGAGACGAAGATGATGGAGCGTCTGTGGGGAGACTACTTCTTCGATGCGGACAGCAAGAAGTGGGTCAAGACGAACCGCAAGGAGGAGCGCAAGGCTCAGGGCAAGAAGCCTCTGAAGCGTGCTTTCGTGCAGTTCGTGCTGGATCCCGTGTACCAGCTGTTCAACGCTGTGAGCGAGGGCCGCAGCGAGAAGTACCTGAAGATGCTGACGACTCTGGGCGTGAACCTGACGACGGAGGAGAAGGAGCTGCGCGACAAGGCGCTGGTGAAGCGTGTGATGTCGAAGTGGCTGCCCGCTGCCGATGCTCTGCTGGAGATGATTGTGCTGCACCTGCCCAGCCCCGTGGAGGCTCAGAAGTACCGTGCCAGTCTGCTGTACGACGGACCGGAGGACGATGAGGCCTGCACCGCCATGAAGAAGTGCGATCCTAATGGTTGCCTGATGATGTACGTGTCGAAGATGGTGCCCACCGCCGATCAGTCCCGTTTCTACGCTTTCGGTCGTGTGTTCTCCGGAATCATCCGCTCGGGCCAGAAGGTGCGCATTCTGGGACCCAACTACAAGGCGGACAACAAGAACGATCTGCTGATCAAGTCCGTGCAGCGTACTGTGATCATGATGGGTCGTACCGTGGAGCAGGTGGCCGATATTCCTTGCGGAAACACTTGCGGTCTGGTGGGAGTGGATCAGTACATTCTGAAGCAGGCCACTCTGACGGATTGCGAGACTGCCCTCACGATCAAGATGATGAAGTTCTCCGTGTCCCCTGTGGTGCGTGTGGCTGTGGAGCCCAAGAACCCCGGTGATCTGCCTCGTCTGGTGGAAGGTCTGAAGCGTCTGTCGAAGTCCGATCCCATGGTCGTGATCACCCACACCGAGACCGGTGAGCACATCATTGCCGGAGCTGGAGAGCTGCATCTGGAGATTTGTCTGAAGGATCTTCAGGACGACTTCATGAAGGGCACTCCCATCAAGATCTCGCCTCCTGTGGTGGCGTTCCGCGAGTCCGTGAACAGCGCGACGACGGAGCCTGGTCTGGCCAAGTCCCCCAACAAGCACAACCGTCTCTACGTGAACGTGGAGCCCATGCCCGACGGTCTGGCGCAGGAGATCGAGGACCAGAAGGTCACTCCGGAGCAGGAGTTCAAGGAGCGCGCTCGTTACCTGAGCACGAACTACGGAATGGATGTGGAGCTGATGCGTAAGATCTGGGCTTTCGGTCCCGATGGCAACGGCCCGAACATTTTCTGCGATGCTACGCACGGAGTGCAGTACCTGAACGAAATCAAGGAGTCCGTGGTGGCTGGATTCGGCGCTGCCTGCGCTGCGGGTCCGATGTGCGATGAGCCCATCCGCAACATCATGTGCAAGCTGATGGATGTGACCCTCCACCCCGATTCCATCCATCGTGGTATGGGACAGATCATGCCGCCCGCTCGTCGTGTGGTGCTGGGAACCATGCTGACCGCCGATCCCATCCTGGTCGAGCCCGTGTTCCTCTGCGAGATCCAGGTGCCTCGTGCTGTGTCTGGAGGTATCTACGGAGTGCTGACTCGTCGTCGTGGCCACGTGTTCGAGGAAATCGATGAGCCCGGAACCCCCATGATGAACATCAAGGCCTATCTCCCTGTCGCTGAGTCCTTCGGATTCACCCAGGATCTGCGTTCGGCTACTGCTGGACAGGCCTTCCCGCAGTGCGTCTTCTCTCACTGGCAGGCTTTCAACGGAGGCGATCCTCTGGAGAACGGAACAAAGACCAACGAAATGGTCAAGTCCATTCGTAACAGAAAGGGATTGGCTCCTGAAGTCCCCACTTCAGATCGTTACCTCGATAAGCTGTAAGCTGTAAAGATGTTTTGGACCTCCTAGCGATTTTGTTTGTTTGAGATATTGTGAGGATAGGGAACAGGGACTTTGAGAATGTGTATCTGCTTTTTTTTCAAAAATGGATTGCTTGGGTTTGACAGAGAACCATCCTTACCAACTCACGATGGAGGAATCTGGGAGTAGGGCTATTCAATAGTAAATGATTCTCACATTTCGATAATCAATCACACAGGCTATTTGACAGGGGGGTGTGATCCAACTTGGCTTGATTCGCTGTTTATACGATATCTCATATACTACTCGGAAGATTAATCAGATTGAAAGTGATATTGTTATATATCTTCATTCCAATTCTGCAAATTGGATGGATGATCACTTGACAAACGGGATATAGTTATCATGAGCACCACTGTACTTGATAACTGTTTGTATTGTTTTTTTAGTTAAAATGAGTGATGCGAAGAGTTTGAATGGCCCACAAAATAGCGTATTTCCATCTGATTCTATAATCGTGCCGAATGTGAGTGGTAACTACTACAACCGGAATGAACAATAGTTTATGATTCCAAGGAGTTAATCAAGAAAGGCATATTGGAATTAACTCCATCTAAATCGCACATTGTATTACATCCTTCACGCGTACTTCAATCCGTCCAGCCAAAGTCATTTGTGCGGGAAAGGAAAGAAAGAAAATTAGTGCATGCTACTGTACCTATCTCTCCTATGAATTCTGCATCTAAAAGTGGGTCTTGCGAATTACCAACTGTATCGCCAATTTCATCAAAAGAGCACTGTAGTTCTGACTTCCAAACAATGGCAGTACCTATCGTCGTAGTTGAAAGCACTGAGAACGAGACTGGGTGTAGTCCGAACTGTTTCCTATATCAAATTGGCTCTAATTTATATACCAGTTTCATTCCAATGATTAGCACGCTATCGACTCCTGAAAATGAAGACCAGAATGAAAGGGATCAAAATGAGGGAGGTGAAATCAAAAGTGTTGTTAATCCTGGCGATCTTCCCCAAAGATATACTGGCTATTCACCCTTCGAAAAGCAAGAGTTACGAAAAATGCGACAGCGGACAACGTTCACCAAATATGTGAAGCATCGGATTTTAAATCTGTATCGACTGTATCGAATGAGCGGATCCAAGCTATCCATTCGCTCTATTGCGTATAAAATATATTCCCAGCTTTCTAAAGAATCGTTTGTTCGTTGCGAGTTGCTAACCCATAGTGATTTTCAATACACATTTAAGAATATCATCACTTTATTGTATAATACCAGACATAAAAAGTAAACGTAGTGTTGTTAGCATAGTTGTGGAAATCTTGTTTGTTCAAGACTGTATGCTGTTTTCAACTATCTCGCTTTCTTTCCAATATGAAGAAAGAGAGAAGGATCTGGATACATACGAATAGGTAGTTGTTTATCCAACTGATTAGAAGCAAACTAATGAATTGTATTGAAGTGAAATAGTAACGAATTGCATCTGTGATTGTTGCTCTTGATGACACTCGATCATTCGCAAAGTATTGTTGACTCCCTTATGGTGTGGAATCCATAGTATTAGCTGTGTCTAACATGGTTGGAATCGTGTTGGGTTATGATGCTGTTATCAAGCTTCATGAGTCAAACCCTAAGAAATAGTGGGTATATTACTGAATAGGTTGGAGCTTCTTCAGTGGCCAAAATACAAAATAGGTAGCTTCCTGTACATTCACAGCATATGAATAATGTGAATCAGACACGGTTGCAGTCCAAGAATGTGGAATCAAAAGTGTCAAATGAATTGTTCAAAGCACAAAGCATGAATTGGGCATAATAGTGCTCAATTGCTATACTTTCTATTATACTATAAATCTGACATACTAGATAAGCGAAAATAGGAACAATGAGTATAATCGTTTACCTGTTACATATTTCACAAATTAAATGTATATTTGTATGTACTGATATTTGCTACTTTGATATCTGTCAATTATGATAGAAATTAACAAAATGACACATAACTCGCACACATCAGAAAATAATTATTGGCAGCTTATTATTTGTAATAGAAATAAGCTAGGGATGTAAAGTCAACTTTTCCATCATAACAAATAGCTCAAATGAGTCAACTAAAAGGAGCCGAGCATTTGCTCGATGGATACATCTCATCAGGCAAGCCGATGGTTGTTACCAAAAATTATATACAATACACTGTTCAACGGTATCAGGGTGAGCACGAAAACGAATTTGTGTTGCGATCTCCAACTGGAGATGTATATCTTTATGAAAATAATGTATTGAAACAACAATGGAAAGAGAATGAGAAGGGAGTAAAATCGGATGAGTTTATTGCATACAAGAATGGTCGAGTCGATTTCTGTCAACGATTCGAGGATATTTTGGATCAACGAGATTCTAAACAAATAATTAATCATAAGAAAGGAAATCGTATGGAGATAAGGTCATCGAAAACAGGACATTTGATGTATCATGGAGAATACAATGATAATCATGAGAAAGAAGGTTGGGGTATAAAATATGATGAAGAAAGTGGCAATATGGTCATAGAAGGTATTTGGATGAAAGGAGAGTTGACAGAAGTGATTCGCTGTTTCAATGGAGATACGATGACCGAATTGAAGCGGAACGGAGAAGATAGTGTAGATCCAACGAAACGAATTCCGATGTATGTGGGTGGATTTCGCTATGATGAAGACAATGAACAATTTATTCGTGAAGGGAAAGGGTGTTTGATAGACGAAAAGACTGGAATTGCAACTCGAGAATGTGAATGGAAGGATGGAAAGGAAGTGAGTGGAGTGGATCTGTATGATGGATGGTACAGTAATACTACACTACAATTAAAAGTTCAAAATTATGAAGACATAAGTAATCTGAGTTTGAGAGTTACAGATTTGGAGATTCCTCCGAACTGTTGTAACCATTTGATTCATATATTGGATCTGAGCAAATTCAAGCTGTTACAATCAATCGAAATTGGTAGTAACTCCTTGAATTATGTGCTCACTTTCAGTATTAGTGGATTGAATCGATTAAAGAGTTTAAGAATCAGAAATAACTCAATTGGACGATATAAAGGCAATGTTACCTCTTCATATAGAGCACTAAGTATAATGAATTGTGAATCATTGGAATCGATTGAAATTGGGAATGGATGCTTTACCATAATGAATAACTTCACAATCGATGGATTGAATATATTGAAAACTATCAAAATCGGAAACGATTCATTTTCTCAATCCTCTTTTAGTTCTGAAGATGGTAAAACAAACGCCTTTCATATAATGAATTGTGAATCATTGGAATCGATTGAAATTGGAAATGGATGCTTTACAATAATGAATAACTTCAAAATCGATGGATTGAATCGATTGAAAACTATCAAAATCGGAAATGACTCATTTACTCAATGCTTTTATAGCTTTGACTGTGATGAATCAAAATCATTTCACATATTGAATTGTGAATCATTGGAATCCATTCAAATTGGTAAAAATAGTTTTAGTGATTTTGCTGGAGACTTTGAATTGAAGAATCTACCACAATTACAATCCATTCAAATTGGTACAATTGGAATTGATTCAAGCAATTTCTATTGGAGTTCGTTTGTGGTTCGAGGTATTGAACTGGTACTGAATATTCGAATAATGCATAGATCTTCCAAATCTACAATCCATTGAATTAGGTGGTTGGGCATTCCGAGAATCACCATCTACAGTAATCGAAAGTATTAAACGAATTTGAATGAAATGATTGATATAGATCTTCCATCATTACAAACAATCGAACTAGGCAGGTTTTCACTCCGTGGATTATTTGGAGATGAATGTTCACTGACGATGCGAAGTATGAATGAAATGATTTGAAATGATTGAATTAATAGATCTTCCTAATCTTCGATCTATCAATTCGTATGGGGATAGTTTCTTTAATCCTCGCACAGTGACATTAGAGAGTAAATGAATAATATGAATTTTGATAGTATTTAGATATTCCCACTCTACAGAATGTGAAGCTGCCCAATTCTTTCAAGAATGTCGTATTTCCAACAATTAAAAGTACATAGATTCTATTACTATATACTAAATACTAGATGCTTCTGAATTACTATTTGCGAAAACTTATCAATTTGGCTATATTCAGTCGATTGAATCTACAGTATTATCAATTACTCTTCCTGACTGGACATGTAATGATCGGAATTATACAGTATTTGATTTCTCTCGATTTATTCAGATTGAATCTATTGAAATAGGAAATGATAGCTTTTGTTCCGTGAAAACATTCAAAATTGATGGAATGAATCGATTGAAAAGTTTGAAAATTGGTAGGAATTCCTTTACTCAGAAAAAGAACAATCATGATATGGACAATTCTAAAACTCTACGCATTACTAATTGTGAAAATATTACATCCATTCAAATTGGTGAATATAGTTTCAGTGATTTTGCTGGACGCTTTGAATTGAAGCAGCTTCCTAAATTGCAATCATTGAAAATTGGAAATGTGAATAGTGATTCGTGGAATTTCCGTTATTGTTCATTCGTAATAATGAGTACTGAATCATGATGAATTTGATAGTTATAGATCTTCCCAAACTAATATCCATTACACTCGGTCGTAGTTCATTCCGTGAATCTAAAAAAACGCGAATTGAAAGTATATAACATTGATTTCAAAGGAATAATCTGGGTAGATCTATCTTCATTACAATCCATTGAACTTGGAGAACAGGCTCTTCGAGGAATATATGATGACTCATGTTCATTAGTTATGCGAAGTATAGCAAACATAGAGAGTGAATACAATGTAGATCTCCCAAACCTATCGTATCTACATTCAAGAGGTAAAAGTTTTGAAAATCCCAGTGTAGTGAAAATGACTAGTTATATATACTTATGATAACATGATTTCGTAGACATTCCAAAAATAAGAGATGTAGAACTACCTGATTCTTTCTTATACGTTGAATCTAAATCCATATCCAGCAGTTTGAAAATCAAGAGTATTGTTATTTATAGATGTATCTGTTTTATTAACTGAGGAAATCGATACTGATGATTATTCATTTGATTCTACTGATAGTTACTGACTTTCAAGCAAGTAATAGGAGACTAAAGGAATTCTATTTTTAATAATTATTGCAACCCGTGTGTTTGTTGTTCGTTATTATCATAGAATAACCTTATTTGACCTGTATATTCGAAATCAAATGATAATGTGAGAAATATCTTTCATTATCATCTATGTGTAATAGATTTTAGTTTATCATAGATCAACTATTCAAACACAATAGAATAAACCATAATGTATTATTTTTATTGGATAAAGTGTAATTTGGGATCGATAATATACTATTGAAAAGGATGATGAAAATAAGGGAAAACCGGACAAATCAGGGGACGATTCTGTGGATAGTATCATTAGAAACTTCTATATATAATAAATATGGAAGAGAGATGGGTTCTGCGATGCTAATACTATATACATAATTTATGCCTATTTTCTTTCAAATGACATAAATATGAAACAGTACATGGTTGTATTTATGTTTTTTCATATCGTGGATCGATTTCTTATATATATTAGTGATCATTTGCTTTTTTTAAGAATAACTGTAAAGCAATATATTGTCACAGGCACATTAAAGATATCACAATAGTATAAACAAATTACAGAAATAGACAGTATTTCTAAGTCCAGACACGATAATGAGTTGCTGAATGGTATAAAAATGCTTGAATATTAAAAAGAAATTTGTTGATTGTTCCTAACTGCAATAATAATCCGACTAACGTTGTAGGTAAAAACAAAAAAGAACAACAGTATCATTATAAATTCCATTAATTCTCATGTGGCAACTGCTCAAAAACTGGATTTACCTTAACTAGATCAGCAAGGATGTTGGGAACATCTGTAAGTAAAACCAAATCAATCACACAATACTTGAAATTAATTTCCAAAAAACTACATGAAATGAATAAGGTAGATCGACCTTTTGAAGTTTTGGAATATCTATGTTCTATAAGCACTCAGATATATGAATTACTTCTAATGTCACTTTACGTGTATTGTAAAAGCTACCTCCCTTAGAATAAATGGATACTAGATTAAGTAGATCCACAATCTATCATTTCATATCATTTCAACTCTTTTTTCATCCAAATACCTTCTATGACCATATTGCCACTTTCTTCATCATATTTTATACCCCAACCTTCTTTCTCATGATTATCATTGTATTCTCCATGATACATCAAATGTCCTGTTTTCGATGACCTTATCTCCATACGATTTCCTTTCTTATGATTAATTATTTGTTTAGAATCTCGTTGATCCAAAATATCCTCGAATCGTTGACAGAAATCGACTCGACCATTCTTGTATGCAATAAACTCATCCGATTTTACTCCCTTCTCATTCTCTTTCCATTGTTGTTTCAATACATTATTTTCATAAAGATATACATCTCCAGTTGGAGATCGCAACACGAATTCGTTTTCGTGCTCACCCTGATACCGTTGAACAGTGTATTGAATTCCATTCTTGACAATTGATTCAGGATGACCTAACGTAACATACCTGCCGAGCAAGTATTCCGTTCCGTGAATTCGAGTCAAATAAGCTATTAATAAGTACAGTACTTAGAATAATCATTTGTTATGCATATTGCAGTAAACTCAAAAAATACTAATTTCTGTTTGTGTTTTTGGTATCTTTTTGTTATTTTTAACAATTCCCATAGTATAATTGTTATTAAATATATATATATATATATATTACATGTTTTTTCTTTAGTCTCTGCTGTGTATAGCTTCTTGCAAACAAATCATTCCTTGATGGCTTGTATTAATCTCTCTGTTTTTAATCTTTTTTTGTTTTACACAATGTTTGGTTTCTTTCCTGATGTTATCACATCACTTTTCGTCCTCATTTTTTCATTCGTTCTGTTTGGTTCCTATCTTTTTAAAAATCACATATTCAGCTACACTGGCACATTCTGTATCTGCGTATTTCGCTTTTGTGCACCAATCCTTTGTTGTGCAAAGATCATTCTTTTTCACTTCTTTCATACATTTTCAATAACTTTATTAGTTCTATTTACTTACAGTTCCATACATAGCAATAATACTTAAGCAGTCAATAATTCTTTCCAAAAAGGATTCATTTCCCTATTCCATTCTGTTTTACTCTACTCTATTCTGCAAACAAACAAACCACAATTCCTGAGTTTTTCTCAACAACTCCTTGTATCGTTTCTGTAACAACGCATGTCTAGCCTTCTCCCTCTTCACACTTTCCTTCACACTCTTCATCCGCATCGCCAAGCCTACATCCCATCTCCTCCTTTCTCCTTCCCTACTCGTCTCCTCTCCTGCCGCCAGCTTCGAAAAGCACAAGAAATTAATCCGACCCAAGTCCAGCTCGCGATTCAATCCGTTAATCTTCTCCACCAACGCTTTCTGTCTCGCTTGATACCCTCCTAAAACCACATTCAGCTTCGCCTCGCTCTTCGCCACCGCCTTCGTCTGCTTCGCCACCAGCTTCTGCAGACCGCTGAATCGATGGCGAAGACATCGAATTCGATCGGGTTCGCTCAGTGTCGACAGCGCCACGACGCTCCGCGTCTCCGGATCGAACGCCAAATCGCGTTCCGCCGCGCTCCACACATCCGAATAGATCGTTTCGAGCTGGGCTGCCGAGTAGGGCGGCTGCGAATGCTGCAGATCGCCCACTTCCTCGAGAATCAGCATCTCCGCCGTGATCTGATCCTCGTGCGAGAGCGTCGGCAGCGTGATTTCGCGCGTGTATTTCGAGTGGCTCTCCTCCGTGGGGTATTTGAAGTCCTCGTACCGCACGATCGCGTTGATTTCCTGCTTCAGCAGCGTCTCTACCGCGTCGCACGACTCGAAGAAACGCGACGGAATCGCTGCACCGCGCGGCAGCGATCGCTTCATCACCTCGCTGCGCCGCGCCAGTTCCTCGCGCTCCAACGCCTCCTCCTCCTCTCGAATCTGCCGCTCGATCTCCTCCGCGTCCATCTCTTCATCGTTTCTCCGTTTCCTCGTTTCCTCGCCCTCCTTGTCGTCGTCTTCTTCCTCGGGAAGCTGCGATTCGTAATCGAACTGCGCCTCGGGCAGCGTCGCGAGCTGTCTCCGCACCGCCGATCGGTCCACTTTCCTCGCTCCCTTCGCGCTGCTCAGCAGCAGACCCGGCGTCCCGGGAGTTGCCGGCGTGCCCATCGCGCTGGGCGTCACGGGCGTCGCTTTGCTTCATCGCCTTCTCGTTCTCCTCACCTGCCGCGCCCGTCATGGGCGTCATCCCCGCGAACCCCGTTCCCGCGTAGAGTTTGCGATCGCGCACGCTGCGCTCCGTCGTCTCCAGCGGCGTCGGCGTGGCCTGCAGCGCGAGCTGGTTCTTCGCCTCCTCCATGACCACGTCCTACGCTTGACCGCCTCGCTCCGCTTCCTACGCGCGCGAGCGGCGTGCGGAGCGTCGTTCCGGGAGTCGCCGGCGTCGCGGTGAGGAGATTGCTGGTGAAGGAAGCGTCGCGCGAAGCCTGCTCCGCCTCCACCGCGAGATTGCTGTCGCTATTCGTCACGCTCTCGCCCCAACGCGGACACAATCGCGGCGATCTCGGCGTCGCTGACGACGGGCGCGGGCAGCGAAAGCTTGGCGCGCTTCGTGGTGACGCGGCTCGCTTTGTCCAGACGGTTCAGCTGCATCATCGCCTCGGGGAGATTCTCCTCCGCCAGGCGATTGAACCGGCGCACGTCGGCCTTGCGGAGCTTGTTCTCGTGCGCCTGGCGGTCGTTGTGCTCGATCGTGTTGATCTGCTCGGAGGTGAAGTGCTTGTTGATCGACGTGTCGCGGATCTCGTTCGAGACGTCGTAGTAACCCGCGGGGATCTGCTTCGCGAAGGGCACCTCCATGTTCCAGTCGATTTCGCTACGGGGAAGCGGAGAGGAAGGGAGTTACCCGTCGTGCTGCAGGCGTTTTCGCTTGAATTCAATGCCGGCAGCCTTCAATTCGCGGCGTTTTTGAATGTTGCTCAGACGCCGAGACAGTTCCATTTCTTTCTCGCGCAGCTTGCGCTTGGCCTTCTTGCCTTTGGTGTTCGCTAGACGCGCTCGGGCTTCCTGCAGCATGTCCTTCTCGTCTTGATCCATGTCGATCGGGTCAGGACGCGCCGGACGACTTTCTGGGTGCGGATCGATTTCTCCCGAACGGAGCTGACGTGGGTCGTCGTCCTCGTCCAGGCCTTCCTCTCCTTCCTCTCGAGAAGCCATGTCCAGCAATTTCTCGTAGCGCTCGTAGCACTGGAAGGCAGTACGATCCATCATGGACGCTAGTTCATCAAAAGAAGCAAGAAGCAAGACAGATCGTTCGCCATTGACCCGACAGTACCTTTGCCAAATGCATTAGCTTTTCGTCCTCTTCTCGAGTCCACTCCGTCTTTTTAATTCGCGGGTCGAGCCACTCTTCCCAACGAGCTTTACAATGTTTTGCTGACTTACGAGGAAGCAAAGATGCGACTCGGGCCCACTCCGTCTTTCCATATTTCATGACGGCAGCCTTGAGAATCTCATCTTCGGTGTTCTTCCAAGCACCTCCTTTCATCTAGTTCCATTAGGCTCCTAAACAGTAGACATACAGAAATCTTCATTTTGGACGATTCTAATTCAAGGTAGTACGAAAAAAGTGACTATAAGTAATTGCACATTTGAAAACTCTCTTATTTTTTGGACAAACAAAACTCTAAACGACTACTTCTTAGAAGCTTTCTTTAATGGAACCTTCTTTAATGGGACCTTCTTCACTCCCCGAATTTCGTTCTCCTCCTCAAGGAGGCTCTCCTTTTTATTCGTTTTTGGTATTGCCTCTTTCTCTTTTGGTATTGCCTTCTTTCGTTTATTTTCCCGTTTCGGTTGCTTATTCAAGAACTTTTTCCAGTTCGAATCTACATCAATTTCATTTCCCTCCGAATTTGTAGGAATTACTGCTGGCATTGGCTTCTTCTCGTCCTTGGCATCCTTGGTATCCTTGGCATCCTTGGCATCCTTGGCATCGTTAATCTCCTTCTTCGTCAGTTCCTCCACAGTTTTTCCCTCCTTCAGCGCCAAATCCAATTCATTCTACGCTTCAATCCTCCTTCTACATTCCCCCACTTCCCACGCTCCGAACTCATTCAATCGCTTCTGCTCATCAGCGAGTTCCTGCAGTAGCTTGGGAACGGTTTGATCTATCTGGAAGAGCGTTCACCATCGTTTTACGATTCGCCTGCAAAAGCAAAACCAAATCAGGAGTGAGCGGCGACATATTGCGAGTGAGGAAGCTGCGGGCATAGCCCTTGGCGTTGTTTCGACCCGTTCGGCCGATTCGATGCACGTGGAGTGAAGGAAATGAGACAAAATGGAAAAGAGAAAGAAGATATATAAGTGACCAGATTGGTGGGGAAGTCGTAATTGAGAACGTAGTTCAGATTCGGAATGTCTATCCCACGATTTACCACATCCGTGGTGATGAGAAACTGGATTTTCCCGCTTCGGAACGAGTTCAAGACCTTTTCTCGCACCGTTTCGTTAAGATCCTAACCACAAATCATCGACAGTCCAACGAACATCGAAATTGAAAACATTCAAATCAAATAAACATAGGAGGATATGGCTGCGTCATTTGGCTGTTTAAAAAATCTATCCGAAGCCGCTTTACTTCTTCCGGAGCCTCGCCCTCTTTGCTCGGCTTTGCTCGGCCTTGCTTCTGCTTCCCCGACGGTCCTTTCTCCCAGTTCTACAAGCCTCAAAACCCGATCAATCCGCGACCTTGTGAATCCAGTCCAGCAAGAACTCTCCCGTTTTCATTTTATTCACGAAGATCAACGCGATGCTCTTCTGCCGGACCTGCGTTTTCTCGTCCTGCTCCTGCACAAACTACAAACAACTCGCTTGGCCGCTTCTACTCGGATGAAATCCATCAGCTTCCGGATCTTTTTGTGCTCGCTGCACACGTGGATGTCTTGTGTGATCAGCGGGTTGATGGAGACTTCGCTCGTGTTGTCTACGCTGGATGCACATCGCGTTTTCCCACTGACGATGATGGAGTTGTTCGGAATCTCCACGTCGTAGCGATCTGGACACCACGTTTCGACTGACGCGCGAATCTGCGGGTGATTCAATGAATCGGATCCTGCTTTCTCGGTGAATGTCGCGCTGCAGCAGACCACTTGAAGCGATTGCGAGGATGGGAACGAGCCCAGCATGAGATTCAGTTGTTCCTTAAACCCTAACTGTTGTGAAGGAGCGAATGGCTCTGATCGGAGGAGGATATGTCTAGCATGCGATCTGCTTCGTCGATCACCAAATACGAAACACGATCGAGGGCTAAATACTGATGACCTGACTCCGTGTCGGTGTCGGATTGGTGGAGGTTGAGAAGATCAAGGGTTCTATTTGGGAGCGAATTCAAACGAGACAAACCTTCCTGGAGTCGAAATCACAACATTCGCTTGGGAGGCAATCATTTCCTCCACTTGCTTATCCTACTCCTAACACAAAATGCATTGATGGAACCTTTGAAACACCACCCACAACGAGACTACAGCGAATAAATGAAAAAACCTTTGTTAGTTTATAGCACAAGCGATAAATCTGCATAGCTAGTTCTCTTGTCGGAGCCAAAATCAGACACCGCGGATGACAGATCGGTTCTCTCTCACCATCTGCTTCCAAACAAAGCTCGCGTGTCAAGTTGAATAAAATGGGCATCAAAAACGCTAGCGTTTTACCACTTCCCGTTTCAGCCTTGATAAATAAATTCTTTTTGTCTAGAACTAAAGGAACGGCGTAGGATTGAACAGGGGTGGGAGTTGAGATGCTAGATTCGTCAAAGGAGTGTTTATTCGTTACGACAAAATGTGTGCACAGTCCGCAAACTGTTTAGGATAACCAATTTCATCAAACGCGGTCAAGGGACGATAAAAATAGTCTTGGCCATTATGACTTGCACTTACATCTGAAGAGGCTCTTTCCTGCTCCATTTTGTACAACAATAAGGAAATAGTGGGAACTATGTGAATTCCACAAAACAAAGTGTTGCACCAAACAAACCATAATTCTTATAATTCTAATATTCTCTATCATTCATATATCTATTTGACTACCTTTCATCCACAAACAAGGTTGGGTTGTTGTTACTATTTTGCGATCTCCTCATAATACAACTCCGAAACCGTTTTAACACTAATTACTACAAATAGACTCTGCACTGCTTGATTCTCCCAATAATTCTTTTCATACCCCTTTTAACTATGTCAGTAGCCCCTAAGGATGTGGAATTGTGTCCCGTCTGTGGACTTCCTCCAGAATATTGCGAATATGGCCCAAATTTCGATTTGTGCAAGCCTTGGCTCAAGGAAAACCACTTAGATTTATATCCTGACCTCGCAGAGTTTGAGGTGACAGAGGAAATGGAAGCCGCTACTCTGGAGGCAATCTCAGCGCGCGACGCAATCACAGGTAGTTTAGGACCCGATTTTGTTGAGGATAGGAGGACCAAAGAAGAAGAACCCAAAGATGATGAAGAGAGAGAAGATTCTGACATTCTCGGTAAAGGCTCGTCAAAAGAGAAAGTTCATCACTACAGTCGCTGGTCTCGAGCTGTTTGGTACCTTTTTAGGATGGCGTCCAATACTATGCAGATGTTGATATTAAAGCTGCCACCAAGACATTTGGAAAGAAGTTTTCGAGCGGCTGCTCTGCGGAGAAGAATGCGGAGAGTATGATGGAGATCTCCGTTCAGGGAGAGGTGATGAAGGAGTTGGGTCAAATTTGCAACGAACTTTACAATGTGAGCTGGTTTTTGTTGGATTTTCATTTTAGATTCCTCTGGATTGCATGTATGTAGTGGATGGAAAGTCTCGAAAGAAGCTCTTCTCTCTTGTTTGTTGAACAAACTTGCTATTTGTTAAGGTACATTTGCATTCTTCGCATCAATTCAGACACTGTTATCGAGTTCTACAACTAAGCAACGTCCTTTCCATCGTGTACTGGGAGAAGAAGGGCAAGCAACGTTATAAACTCATACCGACTAATATATCCATCTCGGGTACTCTACTTGTCATGCTCTCTCCATTCCATCTTCTTACATCAATCACAGATAATACGTGTAAATGATAGGAACGATCTTTTTCTGGGGCAAGATACTAGAAGTTCAGCGAGATCATAATCGGTACTTCCGCCAAATACAGAAAGTCACTGATACTAACAGTACACAGCTTATAACTGGGCATTGACGTGAAGCACTAAAGAATAACAAATAGAGAAAAGAGTCATCTACATTTTGAATCTCTTCTCGGAGTCGATAGTCAAATCCTGTGTAGATAATGAACCCCTCCACCATATAGTTGAATAGCTGAATATCTAGGCCATTCAGCTCGTTTACGGTGAAGCGCAGAAACTGAAAAAGGTTGATGATCGATTCCTCGGTGGCATCAAATACATTGAACGCCTCCCGAAGATACAGCAAGGTCCATTCGACCCCAATAAAGTCTCCAAACTCTAGAAGTTGCCTAAAAGAGCACTCTCCTCTGTCATTGCTGTCTAGGAGCCGAAACACTTCCTTCAATCTGACTTCCATGCGTATTTCCTTCTCCGCTAGATAGTAATTCGCTCTCTACAGAATAGAAAGGAAGAAGCAATTTGACAGCATCGGGGTTTCCGTATCGTTTCCATATGAAGAATGCACGTTCGCTCACCTCGCTATGGTCTAGGACCATATTTTGGATATCGGGTATGGCATCTCCTGAATCAACGAAGGAACAAAAATACCTGCAGGACATTGAGCACTCATTCCATAAAGCACGGCGAAAAATCTGGATGCACAATCCTGTCAAAGAGAAGAAAGCGTTTCATTTGTCAACAAACAAAAAGAGCAAAAACTCATTGCGTTATAACATAAAGAAATCAATTTATTCCTGCTCCTTCTTCTTCTTCTGCTCAGCATAGTAGGCCTTGATCTCCTGCACAGACCAGGACTGATCAATTCCTTCCTTAGGAGTGGGCTTCCACATGCTGGTGGTGTAACCGTTGCGGTAGTAGTAGAAGTTCTTGCAGATCTCGTTGAAGAAGAACATCAGACCAGCGTAAGGAGCGACCTTGGCCAGGTTGGCGAGAGTACCTCTCCAGAGACCCAGGACACCGTTTCTCTTGACAGTCTGGCAGATGCAATCCCACAGACCGTTGAACTCCACATCCACATCCGAAGTCAGAGCCTTCTTGTTCTGAGCCTGCATCTTCTTACGGATGGTATCGAACGGGAAGGACACAGTCTGAGCAATGGATCCAGCCAAGCAACCGTTCACGAAGTTCTCCCATCCCTTCAACTCAGAACGAGGCTTGCCCCAGACGTAAGCCAGAATTTCGTAGGACATGAACTGAAGACCTCCGAAAGGAATCACACCAAGAATGGAAGCGGTAATACCCTTGTACAGAGCCATCACTCCCTCCTCCTTAATGATCACACGGAAGGCATCAATGATTCCGTTGTACTTGTTCTGGCCATTGACCTGCACAGTCAAACGGGTCTTGATCATATCCAGAGGATACACAGCCACCGTAGCGACCACTCCGGCAATAGCTCCGGCAGACAGGGAAAGGAAGTTCGACATTCTTCCAGTCTCGGGATCGGTCCACACCTTCTTCAACTCGTTGAACACAGCGAAGTTGATAGCAGAGTAGGGGAACAGTCTCACACAGGCAACACCATTACCCTTCCAGAATCCCTTCAGACCCTCCTGGCTGTACACGTTCTTGAAGGTTCCAATGAAACCAGTGTGCTGCTTCGAACCGACCTGGCAAATAATCTTGACCACATCGAGAGGGGAGGTGAATGTACGAGAACCGACTCCAGCAATACCTCCGGCAATGAAGTTCTGCCAGAAAGTAAGACGACGATCTTGATGTTTACCCATCGGAAATACGCAACTAAAGAAATTATGATAAACCAAACCAGAAACTCGATCCACGGCAGAATCCAAAATAGGATCTAGCCCATAATTATATCTGACCACTATTCATTTCGATTCCAATAATTGGAGAACCATTTCTATTGGGTGCACTATTGAATACTACACACAAACCCCTCCATTCGTTCTCACTGAGGTTCCACAGATTCGTTCATCATAGATTTGTTTCCCATGCTTTATGTAGAGGAAAGAGGCCATATCTAACACACAATTTTCCGATACACAGATTATCTTCATATTTCTCATTTCTAACCACACAGTTGACTTAGACAGAGGCTCATAGATAACGTGCAGCCATCTATATTATCGTTATCCACATATTCACAATCTAGATTATTCCAAAATAAGCCCTTATTTTTGCCACTCATTGCCAAAATCGATTGCCACCATCTTATTCTCATGCAATACGGCAATATATCGGATGTGAAACAGGCGATCAACGTATTATTCGAACCGAAAGGATCATCACTAGCTCTTGTATAATTCCAAGGATCAAAGTGTCCAACGGAATGCAAATGAATGGTTGCAACATTTCCAAAAGCAGAGCGAAGCGTGGGAAGTCGCTTCCGAGTTGCTCAAGGATGATAACATGCTAGTTGTATTTTTTGGAGCACACACCCTCTGCAAGTATGTTCCTGTAGTCGTTTGATTGATTTAGCAAAATCCGATATGACCTGAACGAGTTACCCGATTCTACGATTCAGCAGCTTTTCGTTATGCTGTTTGATGCAGTCAAGCATTTCAAAAACGCGTCAACTTCGGTGCGTAACGAGATTTGCCTAGTCATTGCTACCTTGCTGATTCGATGGACCGGCGTTACAGACATTGTCAATGTAGCTGTTCAGAACATCGGAACAAGCGAAACCGACACCATGTTGCTGAATGTGCTCAGTCTGCTCCCTATCGAGCTGCAAAGTCGACGGGTATTTATCCACTATTTCGTTTGAGATGCTCATGGCTAGATTCCCATTTTCGAGAAGCAGCGCGAGGAAAAGCTGGCCGACATGCAGCAGAGTGCGTCGAACGTCCTTCAGTACCTAAATCACCTTCTCCAAACCTCTTCAGACAACGAAGAGCTCGTTGTATGCTCCCTCTTCTCGCTCACTCTCTTCAGGAAAACGTGTTTCGATGCTTCGAAGCGTGGGTTCGCCTCGGGAGTTTCACAGCCGAAGAATTGAGTTCCACCATCCTGCTTCCCTCTCTCTTCAAAGTCGCACTCTTCCTCCTCTCTTTGATTCTCTAGGCAATCCACATTCCTGAGCTTTTTGAAGTGTGTAGCGATGCACTGAACGAAGTCCTGACCGTGTTTTCGGACCTCGCGCGAGACACTTCGGTTATCGACATCATTCTTCCACAAATCGCCGGAATGAAACCCCTGGCGATCGAAGCAGTGTCGAGTCATGATTTCAACATGTGTCGTCGTATCACGCTGATCTATTCGCAGCTAGGAAACGACTGTTTATCGCTTCTGATTGATGATAGCAATGCGTACAAAGGCGAGTTGTTGGATGTAATGATCGGGTTTTTGATTGAGAGTAGACGATGTTCATCTTGTATTCCTTCCCTTCGATCGATATTGCCGATCTCTGTGTGCCTTTCTGGGAAGAATTGCTCGTCGTGTTGCAGAGTCCCGAGCCTGGAACGCCCGTGTATCAACTGGTGTATCAGCTGATGACCGCCTCCTTGCCGCATTTGAAATTCCCTTCGGTTGGGTTTGTGGAGTGGAGTTGAAGCGAAGGACGCTGCGCAGATGAACGAAGACGATGTGTTTGATTTCCGAGAGAAACGTCGCGAGGTGAGCGTATTGGATTCGAATACTCGAGTGAGATGCAGGAAATTGTGAAGAACTGCCACATGTTGCTGGGAGCCAACGTGGCGATTCGGTTTGTGCTGCAATCGTTCGACGAAGCGACCCAAGAAGTAGGGATTCAATTTTAGAAATGAAGCTCTAGTTCATGCAAATGAACGATGCCGAGAAGTGCAATCAGTGGCAGCGTGTAGAGAGTCTGCTGTACTTGCTGCGATGCATCGGAACGCCCTTCGATTTGACGATGCAGGACGTACTGCATGTGGTCGATGTGGTGTTCGCGTTACCGTCCATTTTGCCGCTTGAGCAAGCATCACTGCGTTTACTGAGCACGTATTGCCGCCTTCTTCGCAATGAATACGCGCTTCTGGAGCGGATTCTGAACTTTTTCTTCCAGAAAGTGGAGAATCCGGAGCTGCAACGAGACTGCGTGGATTTGTTTCTGTCGGTGTGCAAGGACTGCGCGTCGTCGATCATTCGAAACATGGAATTCACAGGTCGAATTGGGAGAAGGAATTGACGGACAGAGCGACTGCTTCAGTTGTATCAAACAATTCCGGCGCAGATGACCGGATCCGATAAATGCATCGTAGGCCAGACAGCGAGATAATAAAACGCAGGTTCTTGAAGGATTGTGCAACGTCGTTCGGATGCTGCCTGCAGAGCAAGCGGTTTCCTACGCCATTCTCTATCTCGACTGGATCAAGTCCTCCATCCGGACGATCTGCGAGATGCACGCGGTGAACGGCGCGGCGGAAGAGCTCGTGACGGTGATTCATTTGATGACGGTGGTGATTCGGTACGTCGCTCGACCGAACAGCAGCACGACCGTCTCCTTCGTGAGCTATTTCGAAGAGAACTGGGGTCTGTTCAGCGAGATTCTTTCGGTGTTCGGGCAGAACGAAGACGTCGTAGAGGCGATTTGCCGCTTCTTCAAATACTTCATGCGGCAAAACCAGTCACGATTCACCTCGCTGCTTCAGTCGACGACGAATTTGATCCTCGAAGGCTTCCGACAGACGCACATCAGCAGCTATATCTATTGTGGCAGCGTGATTGTCGGCGAATACGGCTGCTATGAGAGGTGGAAATCGGAGAAACGCCTCATTTCTAGCTGTCAGTCCATCATTCATCAGATTCTCACCGAATTCTGCGACTCCACGTTGACGTTTCTGGCTTCTTCGCCTGATGCCTACACTCAAAACCCGTTCATTGTGGAGGATTTGTACGATTTGTGCGGTCGATCTTTGCAGACGATTCCTCAAGTGATGTTCAGCGTGGAGGATGTGATTCTTCGCATTACGCAGGCGGCCATTGCAGGCATTCAGCTGCAGCATCGCGAAGCAAATCGGAGCATTCTGCGCTACTTGGACTGCTTGTTGATGTTTGGGCGCGAGCAGAAGCCTGAAGAAGGAGAGATTGTGTCGAAAGAAGGCAACTATCGAGCGCAGATTCTTCGGATTCTTCAGGTTTGCGGGCAGGATTTGATGAATCAGCTGGTACTTGCGATGGGTGAATCTAAGTGGCAGATTGCAGCGTTGATTGGAGGACTTCCTGAAAGCCGTATCAAAGAGCTGGGAGTGACGGTGGTGAGTGTTCTGGCGAGCTTTTATGATTCCTTCGAGGATATTTTTATGAATCTGCTGTCAACAAGCATTGGATCGATTCCAGAAAAGCTCTTTTCGAGGCAGGAGAAGGAAGAGTTTTTGCAAGTGAGTGTGATGGAAGGTTGTGAGGCTTAGGAAATCTATCAAAAGAATTACAGTATTGGTCGTTTTGAGAAGTCGATGATTCGGTTGTCCTCTATTACACGGAGCCGAGCTCAGCATGAGTAGAGTGTTTTTTACTAGAAGAATTGTTTGTTTGAGAATGGCTACCAGTGGATCTGAGGATAGAGTATTGAAATTGGTTATATGGTGGATTTATGAAAAAAAGATGGTCGAAGATTGCTATTGGGATAAGGCACAAAATAAGAGGATATGTGAACAGTATTCGTGTTATTAATGGGTTCTTATTTAGTAACTATGCAGTAGCACGATACTTAGACAAAACCATATTATATTATTATGTTATTATTATATGCTGTGCTATGTAATCAGTAATTATTATATGCTATACTATGTAATCAGTAATTATTATTGACACAACAATTCTATATTTCACATGACTAAGACATATTTCCTTAAAGCAAGTAATATCAAACTGATGGTTTGCTACATTTATGTCTAACACAAACAAAAATCGAATCGCATTTCATTGCTTAAATAATAATCAGTAGAAATCTGTATAATGTTCTGGCTACTATTTTTCATATATCGATAGTCCCAAGAGGTATCTATTTCTCTTCCATAGAAAACAAATTGACCGAGTTGAATGGATTGTAATGATTCACAATTCAATATGTGGAATGATTTCGATTTGTTTTCTCCATCATCATTCTTTTTCTGAGTAAATGAATTGCTTCCGATTTTGATAGTTTTCAATCGATTCAATCCATCGATTTGAAATGTTTGCACTGAGCCAAAACATTCATCGCCGATTTCGATTGATTCCAAATTGTACAACAATGAAACATCCCAATCAACCAATACACAATTGTCATTCAGTTTCAAATGTTTCATTCCAATATTCATTGGCTTGCTTCCATCTCCTTCATATTTTTCATCAATATCACATTCAATTCTATTATACCATTCACATTCATTCACTAATTTACCATATCGATCAAACACTTTTCCACTTCCAAATCGATTATCATCACACCAATATCCTTCATATTCAATCCATCCATTATTATGATAACTCGTTCCATATCCAAATCGTTTCCAATTGATCATTATGCCCTTGTACACCAATATTCCATCATCATCATACATTTCACCATATCCAAATGGAATTTTAATTATACCTTATTCTTGTTATTGTTTCCAAATACTTCAATCATAATGAATTGGTTGGTCGATGGAACTAGAGTATGCAATTGATCACACACATCTTCAATAGTCAATTGGAGTTCGAATTCGCCGTTCAATCGCATGATATTACCATTCATCTCCTTGATCACAAACATCAATCGATCAAATCGATGAATCATCGATATACATATTTCTTTTACAGTATTGATATCATTGATTTCAGAAACATCCATGATCATTGTGGTGAGTGAATTGTTGTTCTGATTAGCGATTTCAAATCAGATGATCGTACCAACGATAAATACACTTGAATCACTTGACAATTTCGCGTGATATCAATCACATTCGATCCCGAAAACGAAGCAGGGAATACAATCATGTGATTTCCTAACCCAAATATCTCTTGTACATCTGAAGCAATCGTGAAATCAATAGAGTATGGAGACTGGATCCAAATACACTCATAACTTGTAGCCATTGTGGAAATTGAGAATGTAGTATTAATCATGGTGTTCAGAATGGCAATGATTTCACTCAATATATAATAACCAGGCGAGATCGTTATCTCTTCACCATTGGTGTTTGTCATCACATTGGTTGAGTCCACAATATTGAACATGACTTGATTGGGTTTGAATAGAACAGTCATGGAAGTGATCAATGGATTTCTGAACTTGAAAGGATTGATCCATTCGAATGTGCCATTGATAGGTGAATCTTGTATGAGAATGGAATAATGCATGTTCTCTCTTTACCAAAGACACTCATGACTTGCATGGACAACAATAGATGGATTTGTGATGACAATGTACACATATTAGCTTTTGGTCATTACAAATAAGCAAACAAACATGAAAATACGAGAGAAATAACAATAATTCACCTTAGCTAGGTATGTCTACTGCTTTCTCGCATCCAAGTATAACTGATGCAACAAACACAAAAATAGAAACGAGCACTAGGTTGATAGTAGAAAGGAATTGGCGTAAGAAAGCACGAAACCTGGTTCCTGACCGATGATTGTCGACCAGACAGCCTAGGAACGATAGTCGAGGACTCAGAATCGGTTGGTCGATTACAACGATGGACAAAGGATCGCAATTGTGGTCATTGTGCAATATAACATATAAAGAAAACTGCCACCAGGTTTCACGCAAATAGTGCCATTTTCTTACTACTATTGTTCCATATTAATGAGGTTTAAGATGGCTACAAGTTGATAAATCATTATTATTATTGATCGAAAGAGCTTTTTGTTATAGTGAAAATAGGATCATTTTGTTATGTGACATGTATCAAATATGGATGAACTCATCAATAGAAATAGGAAGGATGAATCAGTCATTTACCACAAGTATTGTTGTATTTCCTTTGATCTATGACTAATCTGTATACTATAGTCTCGAGATACTTTGAATCAATACTTGGACAATGAATATCTGCAATAGAATAACAACAAATGTGTATTGTTTCATTTTGGTGCATATTGTGTGATATGAATTGTATCAATGCCCATAATGAATTCACATTCTAAATGTGACAACTAGTAATGTTGCTAGTTCGTGTTATAAGTTGAGAGAAGGAATGAGCAGTATTAACAAACAAGAGTCTTCACAATAGTTATTCTCAATAGTATTGATTGTGAATAGTTGATGTTTTGTCATCATCATCATATTTATTATTTTTCTGTATGGGAAGATAGAATAATGTGTATTTGTGATTGATTGTATATTTTGGCTTATTAGTATACTCCATGGAATAGAATACTGTGAAAATAAGATAGGTAAGTGTGGAATAATCAGAAATGGCCAATATGAATGAAAACAACAATACTAGAATGTAATAGAATAGTAGAAAATAACATATGTATGAAGTAGCAATAGAAATGGAGTCATTTTCACAAATTATGACGAACAATAGCTGAAATGATGATATTTCACAGGGATCTGTTTTATCACATCCTGAAACGAATTACATAGATCATGCATAGTTTTGCTTCATAACAAACAAAATCCAGACAAACACGATTCTGTCATTTCATTGGTTTAACACAATGTTTGATTCTGTTAAATCCATTTTCATAAAATAACCAATTCTGAGTAACAGGAACAATATTGTTGATACTTAGTACTGGAATAACCAATCAATGAATGAATGATTGGAGTTTGTAGTAAATTCCGTTATTGTTAGTTGGAATGCACAATGATTGGTATATAGTGGTTGGAACTGAATGATTCCTAGATATTATCACAGATTGTATGCTATATGTGAATAGAATAGTACTGGAATGATTTGTGTAATTGGTCACAATCTATTGAATGAATATGAGTTGGATGTACAAAGATTACATAGCATGGAGATGGTTTGTACCATGAATGAATGAAAGAAAAAAGAAAAGAAGAAATAGTATTCATTGCTTAAGATCTTAATCCATTCAATGATATATATTAGTTATTTATGAATGTAATACGTGATAATGATAATGAAGAGTGAATGAGAGAGAATCGAAATGAATGGGAATGTGATTGGTTGTGATATTGGAGTTGGATTCGATACGATTTCAGCAATTCAACACTGAAATGAAAACAAACAAATGAATGAATGAATGGCTGAATGAGTAATCCTACAAACATCGATTTGAATTGAGTCCATACTGTGATTATGTGTATTTTGTACCATAAGAATGAATGATGGATTGTTGACAAGGAAATATCGTTGAATATGTATAAAGTGGACCAATCATGTGAATTGCAATGGGATATTTGAATGATTATACGATCAAATGAATGAATAATATCTTATCTAAGAAATGATTGACAATCTCAATACACTACTCACAATCAATGATCTGTAAATCAGTAACAAGGATGTCATTCATTCATTCATTCATTCAATCTATTCTATTCTATTCTATATTCATTCATAGTATCATATTTGATTCACTTTGGTTTGGATGGCTGATTGAATGATTGAATCAACCAACAAATCATTGAATGAATGAATGATTGAATGAATGAATGAATGAATGAACGATTCTCTCTCTGTGGAGTGATTCACAAAACAACAAAGACCTTTATCACAACCAATGAACTCTCATTCTGCATCAATAATGTCATCGATTCAATCATTCATTCACTCAATCATTTGTTCATGCTTTTAGAACTGTTTAGCGCATGATTGATTGATTGATTGATTGAATCGATGCCTATTCTGTATACTCTTTCATAATATGAATCTATCAAACAACAAAGCAAATAACAACAATAATAACGACAATGAATTCGTTAAAATGACACAGCAACAATAATAATAGTAATAGAAATCAATGAGAATAATAATATGATTATGTGTTCAAAAGCAATGTCTAGAACAGAAATGAAATGAAATGAAATGAAATGAAGTAATGAGCAGCAACAACATAATAGAAACGAACAATAACATGAGTAATAATCCAAATGGATGAATTGTGAACTCAATGCAGTGTCCGATATCGAATCAATACCAAATTGATGTAGAACAAACAATGTGTATGTGAATAACAAGCAATAATGAGAATAATAACAGTAAAAGGAATGAGAAGAATAAGAATATCTGAGAACAATCCATAGCTATTGATGATACATAATAATAATAGTAATCATCATAGAAAGAGATATTGAAACAATCATATGTGTAGTTTAATAAAGAAATAAGGAAAGAACCAAATCCATGATAATAATAGTCATATTATTGGTAATATGAGTATTATTATTATCATGGATCAATCAATCAATCAATCAATAATACTTACTGATCGATTCTGAATAATAGATCAATTAGATTGTTATGTGGAATGATCGAAATGAAGAACAAGCTCGATATGTGAAAACAAACAAATACCAAGAATGCATATCAATTTCAAACAATCCACATAATTGAAT